TAATTAACAATCTGAGAAAAAGTGTGAACAAAGATTTGCAGATGATGTCAAATAATGTAAAGCATTTGATTAAGAAGCATATTGTAAAGTCTTCCAAAACTCTTGTGGCTTTACAGGGATGAATAATAAAATAATACCGTATTTTCCGGTGTATAAGACGACTTTCTAAACCCTGAAAATCTTCTCAAAAGTCGGGGGTCATCTTATACGCCCAGTCGTCTTATACGCCGGAAAATATGGGTATTCTATTTTATTCCTTTACACATGTGGTTTGGCATATTACTCATCAAGTTTTCTCTCCCCCCCCTCTCTCGCTCAAACTCTATATTTTAATTGGAAAAGTTGGGGGTCGTCTTATATGCCCAGTCGTCTTATACGCCGGAAAATATGGTAAATGAAATTCTTAGCTAGATGTGCCAATTAAGATGTCATAAATTAAGATAAATATCCAAACACTGTTGGGTACAGTATAGTTTTTAATTGCTTACCAAAACACCAAGGATAGTTTACCAGATTCTAGGTAAGCTATAGATACAAAGCAGAACAGAATGAATGTTTTTAAAGGAATACAATACTATCTAGTGGGTGTCATAAATATATTTAAACATTGAGAAAGACAAAAAGAGGAATAGAAGTGCATAGAAACTTAATGCTTTTTAAAAGAAAAAGAAAAGTTCATATCAGACTTCCAATTTAGACAAAAGATTCCTGAGAAGGAATCAATAAATATGTAATCCAAGTGAATTGAAATAGAAATTAAGAGATTCTGTATTGTTCCAATAAGCAGATCAGGTACAGATTCACTTCTCAATAAAAACAGTGATAGGGAAGAAATGTGTCTGGGTTACAAATGTTTGCCATATACATGTCCTATATATGATAGAATGAAGTTTAATAGAAACAAATGCAAAGTTCTCCATCTAAAGAAAAGAATGTAAATATACACTTACAAAATGTACAGTTCTACAACTATACACTTACCATGGCTAGGCAATAATATGTATGAAAGAAAACGTGGAATTATATTTAATCACAAGTTGTGATGTGCTTGCCAAAAAGACAAACACAATTTCAGGCTGCATCAGTAGAAGTATAATTTTCAAATCATAGAAAGTAATGTTTCTGCTCTTCTGCACTGGTCACACCCAAACTCAAGATACCACATGTTAAATTAGAACTGATATAAAGAAGAGATACAAAGATAAAAGGGAATTAGAAATGTATCTACAAGAAAAGATTATGTAACTAGCATATTTAGCCTTGAGAAGGCAAGACTGAATTGTTATGCAACAAAAATCTCTCCATATACCTGAAGTGGGTGCGACTCTGAAGAAAAACATGACCTGTTGTATATTATCCCAGAATAAAGGCATGGAATAATGGTATTGAGACCTGTTTAAACTGTCATTCCTAACATGTCATTTTGGAAGATAGTGAATTCTCCTATTCTGGACATACAAATAGAAGCTGATCTATTTTGGATTCTTTCATTTGGATTCCTGCACAGAATACATTATTGACCTTGATGACTTAAATGTCATCTCCATCACTGGGTTCTATGAGAAGCATCTATCGTTCTAGGTTAGGATATTTGGAAAATCACAAGGAATAAGGACAATACATTTCATACAGGAAAACCAGTAATTGGGTTTTCTGTTTGCTTTTCTCTTCTTAAGAATCATTCTACATTCGACACATGATATATATTTATTTCCACAGAACATACTTATTCCTTGGCATGGAAGAAGGAATCCCAAAGAGGCAAAGGAAATGTCCTATGAGGAAGAGCTTGAGGAAAGTGGAAAACAAGCATTTAATTTCAAAATATAAAATCAATTCCTAAGCAATTTGCTTTATCCATACTCTATCTAATAGAGGCTAATAGCTGTTATGATAAACCCTCCAATTTTGTTTCATATTTTGGAAGTATTTTCCTCCCCTGTGTAACAACCTGCAAACCAAATTGTTATATGCAAACTCCTACAGGCAACATCTCAGCAAAAAGTTTATCTATATTGTCTAGATTCTGTAGACTTGTAATTTTCAAATAAGTTATTTCTCTAATTTATTCAGTGGCTCTATCAACGACTTCCTCTTCTGACACAAATCTTCTTTTTTATCTTACAGCCTGTTATGCTGTATTTTTTCTCAGTTCTACCAGTGCTCAATAATTTTGGTCGAAATCCTTCAGCTCTGTGGTAGCTCTGCAATGTTACCCATCTTTACCAACATTCTTGAATATTCAGTGTTGTTTTATACACTGTTTTTTCTACATAAATAGAATGATTCAGAAGCACTTGGACTGCCATTATTAAGTTCAGATCATCTTCAGATAGAATATGTCCAATGTACTCATTGTTTTTCTACATAAAGATCTTTGTTTAGAACAACATAAGCTATGCCTTGCTGGATCAAACTCCTGGCCCACTTAATCCAGCAGTCTATTCTCACAGGAGCCAACAAGCTGCACAAGGAAACGCAACAGTTTCTCAGCAGATGGCCTTCAGAGGCGATCATACTGCCATCGAGGCTGATTAGCCATTGATTCTCATGACTTCCATGAATTGGACCAACCCTTTTTTTTTAATCCAGCCAAATTGATAGCCACGTCACATAGTAGCAAATTTAAAAACCAGCCATCCCTTCCATACTCACTGAAATGCAAGACTAGAAAATGCCACTCAGGCCATCATCCAATAGCCTTCTTAATTCATCTTAAAGCATACCTGACAAAAGGCTGTGTATCATCTGCTTAACACATCCAGTAAAGACAAATATACCATCTCTCTGTGTTACTGACTCCTTCATTAAAGTAGCAAAACTGATAGACATTTTTTCTAACATTCAGTTAGAAGTTGCCTTCCAGTAACTTAAATCCATTATTTCACTTTTTTATTATTATTATCCCTTATTACTTATGAGTAATTCAAGGTAGCAAATATATATAATAATCATTCCTCCTCTTTTCCCCACAACATTGTGAGATGGGTTAGGCTGAGAGAGAATGACTCACAGTCTCCTTAAGCACTATACCTTACTCTCCTTACTCTGGAATGAGAAAAAATGGATTTTGACTACCAAGCTAACTGGCTCTGAACTACCTATTCTGAGGCAATAACACTCCAGAGTTTCCAGTAGATTTGTCCTAATCCTAATGGATTTGAAAGATTGACCCCAGGAGTTTTTCCATGCAACATATGTACTATGCTACCAAATTAGGACTCTTTCTATGCAGTCCTTACCTAACAACACTTCTTTTATTTCATCTTTTATTATTCTGTTTTCAGAAACAGTCTCTGCCAAAATGTTAGTGTCCCAGACATATCTTTTTCACATTATAACATACTCTAACATAATCCTAAATCTGTGTTTTTCTGTTATTCCAGCAATTGTTTTTTCAACTTTCATAGCTTGCTCCTAATTCCAGGCTCCTTTCTCATATAGATATTTCTAGTTGGGCTACTGCAGTCTTATTTTCTCCTAGTTCTGGTCCTAGTTTATTACCCAAAATTCTAATGCTATTGATATCACAAATCACGTTATTTGAATAGTTCAAGTAGTAGCAACAGTTGCTAGTCAACCCAAAGGGTGTGGTAGTTTTTTAAGATACAGACAGCACATGACCCAGGAGAATGCAGACAGACAATCCTAAATTTCTTACACCATATGCTTACTGAAAACTAAGCCTTATCAAGTATGCAGGATTGCAGTTTAAGAGTGCCAATCCCAGTATTTTAGGCATCCTCCCAAATGTCCTGCTCCTAAATGTAGATGTTCCTGTTTGAATTCTCTCCTCTCTGCATACAGATCAGTTAGACAACAGTATTTATGGGGTGGGGAAGAGAGAATTTTGTATTCCTTAGTGATGGATCATTATGAGCCAAGCCGTTGCATAGAAACCAAACTGTTGGTACTTAGGCAGTACTGCTATTTATTCTCTCTATGCTAAGTGTACAACATTTACAAAGCAGCCATTCCTGGGCGGATGTCTCAGAGAAATTCCAGGTGTAGAAAGTAGCAATAACAGCAGCACTGTTCCTTTGCAGATCACCCTAGTAACCAAACAAGAGTCCATTCTTCTCAGTCTGTTCAAGGATGCATCAGCCCATCCCTCCCTCACTACAGCCGTGTGCCCCCACTTTCAATTGCAGCTGATGTTGAAGATGCTGGTGACCACTCCCCTCCGCCACCAGCCTCAATCAGAAAGCAGTAAGGATTTATAGTATGTCCAAGCACATCTGCTAAACCATGGGGGTACATTTGTCTGTAGGAAATTACAAAAACAGCCTACTGCATCTCACAATTTGTGCTTTTCCAGCTTTGCGAATGGCTGCTCATATAGCAGTCACAGTAGCAGTACCTCTCTGTCCCTCCCCACAGGCATCTGGTCCTACCCATAAACTGCCTGCAGAACGATTAGAACGCTACCATGACATAACTGCAAACACAGAAAAGGAGCCTTTCTACTATCATTCCCAGCTGAACAAATCGGGAGCCATCCATTTTAGCATGGGTTCTCACATGCCCCTGCAGACTAAATCCTCTCTAGTCAAGTACACCCGATTCTGCTAAACTCTGGGTCTAGATTTGCCCCATTTTTACCATTTTCCTTTGCTTGTTCACCCTGCTCTGCTTAATTGCCTGAAACAGGAAACAAATTCCTGTTTTCTTATCTTCCCCTTGACTTGTCTGAACCATGAAAAAAAAATCAAAATATTTTCTATTCTTTATGGCCATTTTAGCTACCCATTTTACATTTTTGCCCAAAACCCAAAAACATTTAGCCCAAAACAGGTCAATTGGGTCAGGTTAGAAATGATTCTACTTTCTCCTGGAAAAAAAGGAGCAAGCATCCACTCTCTAGGAACAAAACAGGAATGAATGCATAATGAAGATGGCAGGAAACCCGCCAAGAGTGCTGACAGCTGGAAAATGACCAAACTGAAATGGCATACCCAGGATATCCCTTCCTTTGGACTGTTGCTTGCTCTTTCTAAGCCTCAAAGTCCCCTGCTCTCTGAAAGACTCAACCGCCACCAGACACCAAACAGCTTCGGTTTGCACAGAGAGGACCAAATCAATGGGGAGTCACATCGGAAGCCCTGCAGACTCCCCACACGGGCTGTTCTCCGAAGGAGCGACGCCTCCCGCTCAAAAGCCCCAACAACCTTCACCAGCAAGGCGGATCCACGGGAAGGAAGGGGACGGGCTGACTCACCGAGCATCTGGCTGAAGAGCAGCTGCTCCAGGTCGCCCAGCACGGTGACGACCAGTTCGGGATCCACCTTCAGGAAAGCCTTCTCCTCCGGCGGCGCCCCCTTCCCGGACGGCTGAGCGGCCGTTTGTGCCGGCGGCGGAGGCTGCTTCTGCTGCGCCGCTTTGCCCTTGTTGGAGAGGATCTCGTCGTCCGACTTGGGGTCGTCGCCACTGCCAGCCTCGGGGGCTTTGCTGAGCGGTTTGACTTCGGCGTAAGGCCCCCGCGGGATCCGGCTGGGTTTGCCCAGGTTGGAAGGCAGCGGCGCCAGCGGCGGTTTGCTGCCGATGGCCGGGGCCAGCTTCGCCTGAAAGAGCGAGTGCTCGGACCGGGAGAGGTTCTTGGACATGAGCGAGGGCGGCTGCTTGCCGCCTTTGAGGCTGCGGCCGCCGAACCCTTTGGCCGCCTTGGCCATGTCGTCGCTCCACTTGGGCTCGTAGAGCTGCATCTTCTTCTCGCTGTCGGTCAGGAAGGAGAGGTTGGTGAGGGACTTCTGCTTGCGCAGGTTCGAAGCCACCGGCAGGCGAGCCTCCAGGCTGTCCGACTTGAAGACCTTCAGCTCCGCCGCCCTGGGCGCCACCCCGGCGGGGCCTTTGGGGTTGCCGCGCTTCTGCATCATGGCCTTGCTCCCCTCGGACGCCGCCTTCTTGAAGCCCTTCAGCTCCTCTGGCCCTTCCTCGCCGCCGTTCAGCTCCGCGTCCTGCTGCAGGCTCCTGACGTGGTTGCTGCCGCCGCCGCCGCTGCTACCGAGCATCTTCTTCCCGCCCGCCGCGAGGAAACCATTTAAAAGCCCAGCTTCTGAAGCACGGAGGGAGAAGAAAGAACGAAAGAAGGGGAGGAACGGGAAGGAGGAAGAAAGCGGGTTGGGAGGAAGGCGAAAGAAAGGAAAGACGGGAGGAGGAGGAGGAGGAGGTGGTGGTGGTAGGATAAAACAGAAAAAGAGACACGCTATCAAAGCAGCCGGTGCCACCTTCCCCGCCCCGGCGCGCTCACAGAGGCGCAAGAGCGCACGGCCCCTCCTCTCTCCCTCTCTCTTCCAGCGCCGCCGAGGAGAGAGAAAGGGACTAAAGCACACACACACACCCACACACACACACACACACAAAAAGGCCTTTCCTGCCGGCCCGCAAGATGCTCCCGGCTGGCTCGGAAGAGAAAGAGAATGGGGCGGGGTGGTGGTGGAGGGGGGCGCAATACGCGCGCGAGGCTATTTTTGGTTCTGCGAAAAGGAGGCGTGGGTAATTGTGCGTGAGGGGGTGTGCGCGTGTGTGTGTCCACATAGGAATAAGTACGCGTGCGCGCGCACTCACCAGAGCTAGCTGCCTGCGGTAGAAAGGGCCCGCAGCAAGAGGAGGGGGCTCGGCGAATTTTTCCTCGGGCTTACGCCGTGAACGGGACGTCGTCGGAGAAGCGTCCGTGCAAAACAGGCTAGTACCCCGAGGCCGTTTAGAGCGTCCTCTGTCTTCTCCTCCCCCCACCCCTCACGGATAGAAACAGAGGTCAGTCGCAAATGGCTCTTTCCAGAAAAGGATCTTAGCACTTCAAACGTGAAGCTCTGTTGAAGGTATCTTAGGCCACCTTCTGAATATCCATTCGCCTTACTGGAAACCAACGCCTTTTTTTGTGGTTCTTATATTTCTTATATCAGATGGAGCCCAGCCTTCTTTCTAATCCTGATGCACTTATAGGTGCATATTTGAGTAATGATTTACTGCCTACAAATGCCTTACATGTTATGTATGGAAGACTCAATGATAGAGCCAGTTTGGTTTAGTGGTTAAGGCACCAGGCTAGAAAAGCAGGAGACAGTGAGTTCAAGTCCCCCCTGTTAGCCACCAAAGCCAGCTGGGTGATTTTCCTTCAGATGGGTTGTTGTTGTGGGGAGAAGGAAGATGTGTCCATCCCTTGTAAAAACAATCAAGAGTGGATACAAATAAATAAAAAGATCATCAGAAAGATTCAGTGACAAGCTGAGAAAAAAAATGCACAAATGCAAACTCCTCAAAATACAAAAACTCTTTCTCATGTAATTACACAATCTTTCTCTATATGGCTGTTGCTATATTAGTACAATGAATTCCAATGAAACTCATTTCTGAAAGGTCTGTGTAAAAGATTATAATTTTTGTTAATAATATCTCGGGTACTGGATAGCAGTTTTTCATGTATGTCGGGTTCCGTATTCCAGTTAAATGTGAAGCATAAACTAGAGCATGCATAGAAAAATGACTGTACACTTCAAATAATTTGGAATATAATTTACCCAAGGAAAATGTACAATATGCACTAATCCGCAGTTTCCCCTTTCATCAGCTAAATTGAAATTATCAGTAAAACCTATGAAAGGTAGTTTGCAGGGATTGTATGTGCTTAATCAGTTTGCTCATTCATTCATTCATTCAATAATTTATATTTTGATTTATACTGCCTAAAGTGAGCTCAGAGCAGCTACTGCTAAACATTTTATTAAGTAAGGTGATTTAAAATCAGTGATGTTTAAAGAAATATAGAATCAACAAAGAACTGTAGAAAATGATTCAAAAGATAAGCAAATGCCAATCAAAACAAAACCAATGACAGAAAATCAATTAAGTCATTTAACAAAAGGCCAGAAGGTTCTTCTCCATATTCATAAAGTCCATATTACACGCAGAACAACAATATTCAGAAAAGACTCTCCTGTCAAGCTCAGTGGCTGGCAGATTCTTCTAGAACAGTGGTTCTCAACCTTTTTAATGCCGCGACCCCCAACCGGTCGTAAGTCGAGGACTAAACCGGTCGTAAGTCGAGGACTTTCCGTGCCTGGGAGCGCCGCGCATGCGTGGTTCCGCCCCCTGCACCGGCCGAGGCGTAGCTGGCAAGCGGCAGAGACGGAGCAGGCCGACTACCAGCTGGCCCAGCTCAAGGGAGGTAAGGCACCCGCCGGAAAAGGGAAAAAATGACGGACAGCCTTGCTTGGCGACCCCCGTGAAATGGTCGATCAACCCCAAATGGGGTCACGACCCATAGGTTGAGAACTGCTGTTGTAGAAGGAGAATATCCATTAAACAACTTGTTTACATACTGCTAGACTTTCAATTGACAATAGGCCATTGGTTACTGATAATAAAAAGAGGAGTTACTAATTGTCAAAATCAAGGATTCTTGACTTTGATTACAGCCAGCAAATATTCCATGTATAGTAAGAACTGGAGGTGTCCTAGTGACAAAGAGACTGAAATATGAAGTCTATGGTTCAAATTTTGCTCTGTCAGAGAACACAGAAACAGAGACTTGGACTGGGGCAAAGAACCTTCTCCAATGATGGATATTGGTCTTCCTTCTAAATTTCTTGTGAGATGATCTATGTGAAATGTTTTGGCTGCTCCAAAGGGCTAAATAACTGCTATGTAGCATACGTAGTTAATGTGAGATGCTTTAAAAGTGATGGTAGCAGTATTATTTTAACAATCAAAATTAAGAAATATGATATTTTGTCTTATCTCTTAGTGTTTATGGTAGAATACTGCTTTAAAAATATTTAGTTGGTAAAGTCTCCCATTGATTTCAATGAAGCACCTTTGCAAATCAATATTCACAAGTTTGCAATTTTAGTATATATAACTCTTCTAGCAGTACTGACCTGAGGAAAGAACAATTGCAAAAGCTGCAAAATCACAACAACACATAATTCTATTGATTTTCAAGATAACTCCTGTATTTTCAACCGTTAACTCTCTTGGATTGGTAGAAAAAAGAAATACTCAAAGATAGCTATCCATTTTAAGAAAGAATATCCTCAGGAATCCTGCTATTAAGTAAACAGCTCAATCTGATGACATAAAGCCAGGCAAGACTCAACAGATCAACTTAGATATTTATCAAACAAAATAGTAGGAAAGGAAGTGCTCGCTCAACCCTGAGTCACTGCTGCGTTATTGGTCAACCAAAGCCTGTCCTCAAATTCCAAAACAACTAACATAACATGAAGCAGGCTTCTTATCTCTGCATGGATAGACAGTGACTTGAGACTTTTAATGTCTCATCCATGTTACTCATAGGCTCTTCTGAGTTTCACTTCTGTTCTCGCTGTTCAGAATACTTTGCATTTGGGACATGCATTCCTTATCAGTCTGAGCAGGAACCAGAACAGCCACTTCGTACAGTCTGTCTAAACTGTTAGGGAGCTATAGTATGAAGTTAATTTTACTCGCATGGGAACAGATACACCTTATATCCTAATATCCCCATTTTCATTCATTCATCCCAACTCACTAATAGGTGGTTTAACCAGTGTCTCCTTATCTGTTGAAATTATCTTCAATTATCTTCAAGACAAATATTCATCTGATGTACATGAAAAAAGTGCAGAATCATTACAGATGGGCCTCTGAATATGGTCCTGGGTGGAGTTGATCTGAACTAACTTGAGAGATAAACAAAAATTCACATTTCAAAGAGATGTGTCTAGAAAATAGAAGGAGGAACAGATACAGAAGATCAGAAGGAATAACTATGGGAATAAAAACAAGATTTAGATTAAGCTAGATAACCTTCTTATATTTTACATTTGGATATGTTAAATGTTAATATTTTTGTGTTAATGTGAATTCACTTACATATGAGAGAATGGGATAAAAATAATCAAAACTAAATAAATAATGGGTACATGTACATTTCTATGGATTGAATGTGCTCCTTAGACTAAGATTACAAGTGAAGGCTTAATAGTGAATATTTATGTTGTTTTCTGACTGATCCTTGGGTTCATATCATCACAACCCTAACATATATAATATACCATAACCGAATAGAAAGTTGAACAGAAATTATGTAATAAATAAATCAGCTCTGTCCAAAACATAACTTTCCAAAATCTGAACAGAATGAGGGGGCAGAAAAGCTGGGAAGAGAGAGTTTGAATACAAAAATGGTCCAGATCTAATCAGGAGCTGCAAAGAGAAAAAAAACAAGCTAAAGCTTTCCCACAAGACATTGGATAAAAACCTTGCTAAGTCCTCTCCTGTAAACCCACTTCCTCCTCCATCCCAGTCAATTGAATCATAGCACAGCTATTATTAAGAGTTGGGAAGAGTTCCAGAATTCATGTTCTGCATAATATTCCTACCTTTTGGGGATACCGAGGATGTAGCTATAATATGAGGGCAAATGGTTGGTTTAGAACCCTCCCCACTAAATGTCATCTAGACACATTAGAATGCAATTCCTTTTTTCCCAGAGAGCCTTTTTAATGACCACACAGGAAAAGAATAGAGACACCTGGCAGGAGAAGTCTGTTGTAGAAGAACTAGTTCTATAGAAAAAAGATAATCTTTTAAAATTATTCTTACAGCCACCATTGTACAAAAATCTGACTTACCTCAGTATTTAAGAGAATGCTAGTCTCACATTTCTGTCCAAGAGAAATGAAGATTTACTCCCTGTAGCTTTGAAAACAGTGGATACCACAAGAACCTGGACTAAAAGAAAAGTTCTAAACAGCCCTTTTCTTCAATGGCGGAGGGGAATACGACATCATCTACTGTATGTTCAGTCTACAACACAGTCCTTTCAACAGTTCCAAAAGGGCTCCATACTCATTTGTAGTACTCAGGTGACTCTGACAACACAGATAAACTTCCAGGTGGCATCAACTACTCTCTAAAAGAATGCAAATGACCAGCTGTCTGCAAGGAGTATAAATCCTTCCATTCCCCCACCATCCAGTCAGAGCTGAAGAAGCTTCTTAGATGAGAAGCAAAATGTCTTCAAAGA